CTAAGGAAACACTTTACTACAAGTCAAAAACCTCACAGTATTTCATTCACACAGCTGCAAAAAAAAAATATATATATATATATATATATATTCAGTCAATGCTGGCCAAAGTCAGAAAATAGCTTTTTGAAAATAAAATGACTTTTTTTTTTTTAAATACAAGTTTATAAAACTAAAAACAAATGACTATAGATGGAAATATTTTGTATTAAAGATACAAAATATAAAACTGTTTATTTATATTTAATGAGCTATTTTGTCTGTTGGAGCCAAATTACATTAAGATAAATTCTGTACCATTTGTCTTTTCCACAGTAATGACGTAAAACAATTTTATTTTTTAAGTATTTTGAGATTATATTTTTACCAAGCCAGCACACTACCATTTACATAAATTCATAATTTGCATGACTAATAATGAACTAATGACTTTTAAATTAAACATTACCTGCATAAAATGGTGTCACAGTACAAGTACCTATTTTCACATTAACGCACCACCACCAACAAAAATCCACTCTGTGTCTAATCATCTTGGGTGAAGACACTTGGACCGACTTGTAATTCGCTTCAGACATTAAACAATCCTGTTCGTCTGAAATGGCACCTCTGGGACCTCTCTCAGGGAATCCACACAGTAAGGTGCTCTCCTCAAAAAGACACCCCCTTGAGGACTTTATCCGTTTGCATCATTAATGGAAGCGCAGGGGTAATGTAACAGCCAGCCTCCGTCGGCATGATGGGGAAATAAGACTTTGTACTGTTCTGCTCACAGGAGGGACTAAGACAAGTCTGGAGTTCACCAACAGTTCATTATTCACAGTTTTGGTCGCTACAGTTAAAACAGCAGGTTTTTATTTTATATTTTATTTAAGAAATAAACAGCACTGTCTGGACCAGTCACCTACACGTCTGGTGCAGGAGGATAAAAATGATTACAAACTGAAATAGAAGCATTGTGACACTTTTCAGAACTTCCTGTATGAACAGGAAGTGTGCAAATATCTCCAAGTGTTAAAAATGACAAGGAGGTTATTGTAGTAAAGAAACATGGCTACTGAAGTTCATGCACTGAGCTTCTTTCATGAACTTCATAAAACCTTTAAAGATTTCCTTTAAATATAGAAATAATGCACTGACTCTTAATTATGTAGTTGGAGCTACAGCAGCAGCACCAGGGTGGGGGAGGGAAAGTAGGACCACCTCACATCCAGTCATTCTGTTCTGGAGTCACACGAAGGCTGGAGCTCATCAGTCAACAGGTGAAAGACGGAGGACGCTCCAGGGAAGATACCAGTCCTTCACAGAGCCAGCACGAAACACAAGAGACGAACAACTCACTCCTCAAGTATCAATAAATAATGTGCATGTTTTTCTTTTTTCAAACTAGAATGAAAAGACAATTCCTGCAGGAAACCCATGAATGCACTGAGAGCAGAAAGTTCAAGATGGCTGACGCTGGAGCAAGAAACGCTGTTGCTTTGAGCTCTGACAACTGTCTGATCTGATGTGGGTGGAAAAGGTGAAACACCCACACCTCCCCCCACCCTCATTCGCTCCACCCTGGATCCCTGAGCAAAGCCCTTAACCACCACCTGCTCCCTAAACAGGTCTCTCTTGAAAATGAGTTCTCGTGGCTCAATGAGACTACCTGGATAAATAAAGGGTAAATTATTATTATTTTTTTTAAATCCTTCCATCCATCATCTTTACCAGCTTCTTCCTTTTCGGATCACTGGTGCCCATATAGTCATATAGTGACTGTACGAGAGACGGGGGACACCCTGGTCTCCAGTCCATCACAGGGACACATGGAGACAAATGAGACAAACAACCATCCACCTCTCATTCACACCTAGGGACAATTTAGAGTTACCAAACAGCCTAACATGCATGTTTTTAGTCTGTGGGAGGAAACCGGAGTACCTGGAGAAAACCCACGCATGCACGGAGAGAACATACAAACTCCACCCAGAAAGGCCCCCCAGCCAGGATTCGATCCGACTGTCTTCTCGCCGAGAAGCGGCAGCTCAACCAACTGCGCCACCGTGCCGCCTCTGTTTCAGTAACATCAAAATTTGTTGAAGTGGAAGAACAAGGATTAAAATATTTAAATGCATTAATCTACAAAACAAGACAATCAAAGCACTTTAACCAAAAAAAAAAAAAAAATCAGCATTAATTTAAACTTTTTAAATCTGTTGCAAAATAAAAAAAAGACTTGCAGCTGAAAATTTCCCCCAAGGTTTGAGTTCTGCCATTCAAAGCTAAGTGCAACACCCCCCGCCCCCCCCTTTAAAAAAATAAAAACAGCTCTCATGTTGGGCTTGTTGAAACCTGCTCAGGCCAACTCTCCAATAAATTTTCCACAAATCTCCCCAAAAAAGTTCAGACAGTTTGCACGCGGTTGCAGCTTTGTCCCGGTAACACCCCGCCCAACGTCGACACAAAGTGGAATATTTCAGTCTCACCCAGAGTGAGAAGCTGATCCCAACAAAGAGGCACAACTGCTCTCTGCAGTGAGTCCGCCTGCAGAGAGCGTTTCACTCTCGCATGCAGCAGTGCTCCGTGTAGTGGGAGCTCGTGTCGGCCTCCGTTGCTCCAAAACAAAGCACATGAATAGTCCACAAGGAAGCAGCAAGTCACAAAAATCTAAAACTGAAACTGAATTAGTCAGAATTTACTATTTCTACACTTCTTTGACATCACGATACTGGAATAGAATGTAGAAATGTCAAATGTCGGCCTATTCACTTACGTTAATTTGAAGATGCTGTCTGCCACTTACAGACCGATATCATGAGTCTCCATCAGCAGCAAATGCATTCAGAGCAATTATGTGGTAAGTCCAAGCAACGCGGCTCTCACTTAATGCAGCTGGTTATTTTCTTGCAGAGGCTTTCATTGTTGCAAATGTACACTGCTTTTATGCTGCTTCCCTTTTTCATTTAAACATTAAACGTGTTTTTCCTACTGGGGCATAGAAACAAGTTCACAGGCTGAAAAAAAGAGCAGACTCTGCAAGGACTTGTGCATGAGACCTGAAAACAATGTTTGCATGATGTTTTTTCAAAGCTAATATCACAACAAATGTCCTAGTTTTGAGTACACTCGTGCTTTTGTGATGATCCTAGAAAACTGATGTTTTTACAGGATGCAAGTTGGAGCTATCGGAGAGGACTGGGGACACAGCAATCCTTGATCTGATCTGATCCGATGATAAAAAGCCACCTACTGGCACTTCTAAAAAATGTTAATTAACCTGACACCTTCTGTTTGCTTACTCCATGCAAAGTTTTATAGAAGGTTATGGAAAGGACAATTTCTTGGCTCAGGTAAAGTAGCTTTCTAAATATCGTTCAATAATTAGTTTGCCTCAGAGAAACTTTTGGACATAGAGGGGTGCGTTGTTTCCCTGATCTCCGTCTTGTCTGTTGAGCTGAGATAAACTGCTGGCTCGGCAACAGCTGCTGCAGATATGAAGTGAACCCTAAAATTGTTAAAACATCCAATAAATTATGTTGTGTACTTGAAAAGGTTACTGAAAACAAGGCACTTCTTTGACCTGTCACTTTTTTCTGCACCAATAAACAGCAAACATTGCAAACTTCCCAGCATACTCCTCTTTTTCTCTCCAAAAGTTATTTTTATTACCTTGGGAGAATATAAACTTCTGGCTCAAGGACAAACTGTATAAATTTTTATCCCATGTGGGAGCTCTGTCTGGACTGAATTGGAAATAACTAAATAAAAAAAAAAGGTCTTTCAGAGTCTTTTTTTTTTTGGTTCGCTTGAATGGACTAAATCTCAAAAACCTATTTTATTATATCTCTATGCCCAATGTCCCCTGATTTGTCTGGAAACAGGTATTTTCTTTACTGTTTTATGTTTTATCACTCTTGTGTGTTGGGTTTAATAAGATTGTGTGCATTTTGCAAAAAGAGGAAACACATTTTATTTAGTTGAAGGCAAGATGAAAAATCAGTGAAAGAGTGACTCTGTGCACCATGCAGATTTTTCTGGCACTAATCTAGCATGAAATGGTCTTTTCTGTCAGAGTAATAGAAGACGCTGAAACCTGTATTTTAGAGGTAAGTCACTGGGGGCACCTCCACAAAGCTCCACCCGGCCGATGCCTATTGGTGCCCAGCTGAAATGGAGACCTGCCTCCAGGAGGAATGTTTACCCAAGCCTAGCACAGAGCCTTATTGCTCAAAGAAGCATGATCTCCCTCTTCCCCTCTCTCTCTTGTACCAGCTCTGTGCCATTTCACATGAGAACCTGCACAAAATGAGCCTCCACTCACCCGCGATGACAAGAATAGCTCTTTTAAAGACACAGTGATGGAGAGAAATTAACAGTGTGTGATGAAGCGGAAAGTGTAACTGCACCAGAGAGAAGGAACGGGAGCAAAAAGGATTCCTGACATTCCTGAAAGGACGAGCACAAAAGCAAGATGTGAGAAGCGACGATGAGTTGTTTTACTGTTGCTGTAAGAATAAATCACATCAATTCAAATGCAGCTGATTAAAAAAAAAACCTGAGGAAAGAGAACATATTCTGCAAGTTTCTCTCGTGCATACTGCTGCTTCTGTAAACCAATGAAGTAACCTGATATGCAGCTGTGGCAGTTTCCAAGTGCAGGCACTAGTTTCTGTTCAAATAGATGCATGGTGATGTGTCTAACTCACAGGCTTTTTAACATGTTTTTAATACATGCATCTAAAACCAAAAAATACTGAGGTTTAAGTAATAAAAGATGAAACATCCACAATGCTCTAACTTTTCCTCTCAAGCAGTTTTTGTATTGCAGCATCATTTAAGGTCACTCTCAGTGAATTAAGCCTTTAAGGTGTTTTTGCTGCAGCCTCATCCGTGACAATGGAAGTTCTTTTTGTCTAAATGAAACCACAAGTCACTTGGTGTAAAAACCTACATCCTGTAAACATTTCAGTAATGTCCAACTCTCCGTCGCAGCAGCAGCAGCGCGGTTCTCCTACCTTGGATGTGCTGGTTCACCACGGTCTCCAGCCGGTCCAGCCGCTCCATGATCCGGAGCGTGTCTCCTCTCTTGTCCCCCTCCAACTTAGTCTCCGGTAAAGGCATCGGGACCTTGATGTAAATGTTGGCGATGTAGTTAGTGACCCATCCGACGTAGAGCAGGCAAATGATGTTGGTCATGCCGCTCAGGATCACGCATGTGGACACCAAAGTTTTGGTTCTTCTGGTGCAAGCCATGCCGACATCCCTGCATGTGCAGAACAGCCTGGAGAACCACCCGCAAAAAGAAAAAGGAAAAAACAAACGGCAACAAAAATACAAGTTATTTCCAGACGCGGTGTAACATCCGGAGCGCAGAAGTTTAGAAGTGCCGCGGGGTTTGGATTAAAAATAAATAAAAAAATCCACGATCCTAAAAGACAGATATCTACAGGTGAAGGTCTCCCCCGCCGCTCCGTGGCAAATCAGCTCAGCGGCATGTGAGGGTGGAGGAAACAGGAGGGACCCGGAGCATCCTGCTGCAGCCGGAGGGAGGGATGAGGAGGAGGACTGACAGCCGCTCCGCTGCGCGCTGACGCACGGCTCCGATCCAAAGCTCTGCGAACACTTCCAGCTCTGACGTTTAACACCTCACCAGAGTTCAGCCTTCAGAGCCCGGCGGACACTTCCGACACGTGTCATCATCTGCTCCATTCATGAAAACCTGAAAATAAATGAATTAGATCTTGTTTTATTCCAGTGGTTGTAAAAATCAAGGCACGACACCGACACAAAGAGATCCCACGTGACCAATCAAGGTGTTCCGAGGTCGCGTGCCGTACACTGGACGCAGGGAAGAGGTCGCTGCTGTTGTTCTGGAGAAGAGAACAAAGCGCAGCAGACTGAGTGAGGATGACCTCAACCTTTAAGACAAGTCGTGTCCTTTTGGCCTCAGAGGTGATGTGAGCATTAAATAACACGAAGCTGGAGCCAAAATATCTTCTGCTCGTTCTTATAATAACGTGAATCATCTGCAAGTGCGCAACGTGTTCAGAGGATCACAGTTAAAGAAATAGTCCAGACTCTTTGAAATGGAGTTCTAAGGAATGGTTATGAGTAAATAAATATCTTACCTGTTGCAGATAACTCTTCGAACAGCCTCTGATTTGAGAAAGTTTAATTTGGCTGTAACAAAAGTTGTCTGTAAAAAAAAAAAGTCTGTAAAATGTTATAGTGGTTAATGCAAACACTAAATCTTGTCAGTTTTTTAGTAACACAAATGTACGTTTTTTTTTTTTTTTTTTTTTTTAAGCTCACACGATAACATCAGCTACTTGTACCACATTAGGTGCAATGTGGAGCAGGAATGAATAATCAGAATAGTCATATAATGTGCAATTGACACTATGTAAAGGTTTACAGCATTTGCACCAGCCACTATAAAAAATAAATTAAAAAAACTTGTTTTTAGCTATAACCCAATTTGGGCTGTCGGGAGCTTATCAGGTCAATCAGAACTAATTTAAAACCAAATATCTTCCAAAATAAGGTTGATCAAAGAGCCATCTACAACAGGTTACATATTGTTGTTTAACACCTTTTCACAAAGTCCTTCTTCCAAGAAATTTGAACTATCTCAGCTGCATTCTTTGGTATAGCTCTTGTTGGTCAACACATCCCCAAAACACATGAAAATATTGAGTTTGGATGATTGAATCAAGATTTTGATTGTTTCTGTGACAAAATTTGTCATCAAGGTTTGACAGCATGCCCTATTATAGTTTTACTCCAGATGAATATTTACTAATAACATTTTTTTTTTCATCCAATCTGCACGACAGCTCCAACACAGCAAGACGCCGGAGTGAAATAAATGAATCCAGTTAAAACATTTAAATGCAATATCACATATTTTCATGGATCTGTGTAAGAAAAAGCTTCAACGTTGAAGAATCACTGTTGAAGGAGACAGAACTGCTGACAAATGCTCTTGTTTGCTGTATTATCCACAGCCGTCGTCTTATAACATAATGAATCTGAAATAATCTCTTTATTTGGTAGAGCTGTTGTGCACTGCAGCTACAGAAGATGGTGGAGAGAACAGGATGAGCAAATTAAACTGATCACTGGGGAGATGCTGCTGGTTGCAAAACAAAATGCTTTATTATTTTCAAGCTCTGCCCAAAACTATTGTTTATTGTTAACAAGATATAAACAGAAACATAAAAAAACAACAGCAAAACAAGTATTTTGTTCAAATGGAACCCATAACTGTGTTCATGTTGCTCAAACGGCACCGTGAGCAGCCAGGTTAGATCATTTCCACTTTCTATTTTTATTTTTTATTTTTGCTTGTTTTGATGAACAGATGTCTCATTATCTTTATATTTTTATTCTGGTAGTTATGGAGAATTGCTGTTATATACATAAGCAGATTTGTATTTATTTATTTTTTTAATTAAACACGTGAAGAAAATTAGTTTATTTGTTGTTAAGGTCATCTTCTTCTCTGCCTCTCGCTCAATACGAATGTTTCTGCTCTCTGTGTGTCTTGGAGCTCCTGGTACACTCCCGAATGAAAAATGTTATTATGGATCCGGTGAGCTGGACTTTCAGTGCAATCACCAAAATCTTTTCAACAAAACGACAGAGACCCCTCTTGTCCGGCTGAGATTCACGCTGCGGGGTACATCAGAGATCAACTGATGTGTCTCTCAGTTCTGTCTCAGGAGGACGTTGAAGATCGGGCGGGGCTCTGTTTTATCAACTTTGAAGAAGACATCGGCAGCAGTTTCAGCCATGGCAAAGCTTCCGAGTTTGTGTGAAGGTTTGGTACGTGCTATGAGGACTCAAAATCAGCTGATTAAGATGGAGACAATTTATGAGAATCGCAGGCTACCTGTGGCTTATGAGACTTGCCAGCGTGTTGGGAATGACCTTGAGGAAGGCTCATAAGATAGATCTTTTGAGTGAAATACCCATAAATCTGGCCGTTTTGGACCAGGAAAGTTCCAGCAGGACTCGAGGCTGACGAGAAATAAACAGTCTGCCTGAAGAAAATCAACAATTGTGGCTTATCTGAATCCGACTCCCCCATTTCACCACTTGCTCTTGCCGAGGTCGGACACTTTTCCCCTCCCTTCCCCTCCTTCTCCGCTTTGCTTTGCTGCTCTGTCTGTCTGTGAAACTGCTTCTGAGCCTCTTGCATGTCTTCCAAACCATAATTATGGACTTGATTTGATCAGTTGGTCCCTCAACACAATTGATAAGATTTCTTCGAAGAGAAGACAGGCTTTAGGCGAGCCGAATTGCCCTGTTGGCACGCACACAGCTGGATATCTCATCAACTTGGAAGACTTGATGATGTGTCTATCTTTGCTGCCATTTGTGGATTTTAAGGACGCATATTTAATTCAATTTACGATAACTGGTTCCTGCTTTTTGGATTTGGCTGGTTGCTGGTTTTATCTACAATCAAGGAAGTCGACGGCAGCAAATTGGGACCCCATCACACTGCTTGCTTTTATGATGGCTTGGTTCGTGCCTCGAGTACCCAGACTCAAATGCTTTGAGCAGAATGGATCAGATCTTGGGGATTTTACTCAGGCACGTTCCATCAGTGTGGCCATGTAACTTGGACATTTCTGAACCGTTTGGACCAACACAGACTTAAAGTAGATGTCATTAAGTTCTGCCTGTCCCCAGAACAACTGTTTTTTCGCCTCCAATTCCTACATGTGTCCAGTTTCACTTCTTTTCGTCTGTCTAAACAGATATCACTTGTAAATGAGTCTTCTAGGCTCAGTGTGACTTATCTGTCTAAATAAAGGTTGAATGAAAAAAAATGGCCTCAGATACGAGCCGACTATCAAATTTTTCTTGGAACATGAATAACTAGGGAAAAAGCTTTGTCCATTGCAACTTCTGTGCAGGTTTATCAGAACTGCCAGCTGAACAAAATCTTATCAGGACTATGGCCTATTTGAAAATGCTCATGGAGAAATCTCACCGTCTTGCTGTCAAACACATATGTAATGTGTTTTAAATGTGCTGCTGGTAGAGATTTTGATGTCTCAAATCGTGTCCTGAGAGTACAAGATGTGAAGAGATCATTTTTGTAATTTGTAACTCCACTACCCATCCTTATGGTTCTTACCCTTTTACTATCTAAAAATTATTCTGATAAAGAATAAGGGGCCGCGCTATTATAGCAGCAGCAACGTGCACTCCGCCCATCTTTCGGACGACTGTACGAACATAATTTCACTGTATCCCGGTACAATGATAATAAAGCTTATTGTGATTCTGATTCTGTCCTTTGTGAAGTCAGTTTTGTGTCCTTATAGTTATTATCACATGATTTTGTACGTTTTGTTTTCTATTGACCTTTTTAAAGGGTAGTTTTCAGCAGATAATGGACCTCGTTTCATTCACGTTAAAAATGAACAAAATGTCCCTTTTCTTTGTTGTTTTGCCACATGACTCAGTGCAGGAGTCAGCTGCAGATTCATCTCAGTGAACAGTGCTGCCACGCTGCAAAAAGGTCATTTTCTGTTGTTGTTTGCAGAATTTGAAGAAGTTTTCCATTTACTAGTTACACGCATGTGATGAAAAAGCAGTTTTGATCTTTTCTTCTCATTTCCAGTTGTCTTAACTCGGTGATCTTTCTTGAAAAATCAATATGCTGTTAATAGTTTTTGTTTGCTCATGGAAAAAATGTCCTTGATTGGATCGTGTCTGTAATGTTTAACTTTTACATCCTTAAAGTTTAAAATACATTATTTATTTTGTTTGCAGGGCTGAATTCATAAATTTGCATCTTGGGGCTGCAACTGACAAGTTGTCAGTTAAGCCCTTTTTTTTTTTTTAGAAGCGAGATACTTGATGACATTTTGTTAAAGTGACAGAGTTCAGTCAGTCACATTTTGGGTCATTTCTCAGTAAATATTTTTGTTCAAGCCGTAACTGGGAATATTTTTAAAGAAAATGGGAAGAAATGTTATGTGAATATGTTGTTCATAGTAGAATATCCCTAAATAAGTTGAGCTAAAATAAAAATTCAACAAATGACCCTTGTGTAGTTTTAACTCTCTAAAAACTTCAAGTCATTTTGACAAACCAGTTGGTATACAAAACACTTAATGGGTATTAAACTGGATGAAAGCCACTGAAAATATGTCATGTTAATATTTACTCCTGAATGAAAAACTTCATACCTGCAAGGTGGATTGTTGCTGTTTTTCCAGCTGCTCCTTCCTGTTGCCAGTGAATTAACTTTTATGAAAGT